AGAATTAACAATCCTGCTAGTATTTGTGTTGCTTTTCTTACTTTGCTATTCCTCAGCTGGTTTTCTCTCTAGCAGCTTAAGATATGAATCATCTATTTTAAACGTGCTTTCAAAGATAATTAAACATAATAATAACGAATGAAGAAAGCACAAATAGAGGAAAATGTCAGGCCTTACCTGAAATAAAGAAAAACATGGGTGTAGATACCTTTGACTAACCATTTAGCATAGCTGCAATCTGCTACATGATGCAGACTAAAACCCAAGAATCATGACTTGCATCTTCATTATTTGCCTAGCCACAGTCATTGTTTTGCCCTATTCTGGTGAGTCTGTGCAGTAGACATAAGCAGTTTTAAACCTCCACAATTACTCAGTCCACTAGATGATGATCGTCTTTGGCTGCTTTTTTTGAGATCAACATTGTCTATCTAGAAGAGTAGCACTGGAAAATATTCTGCATTAGACTCACAATAACACAAAATAAATTCTTGCTTGCACAGGTATACCTGAACTTCATTCCAATTGCAATGCTTCTGCATCAGAGTGCTTGCTTATAAAGCTTAACTGTATTACCTTATCTCTGTTAAATTTGAAGAAAGCTGACTATAGTCACTTTAAATTGAAGCCATCAGCTCACTACCTTTCCTGATGTAATGCTTAGTGACTGGGCAAGGAAACAATGCCTAATATTTTAAATCTTTATTCTAGGGGTAATACTGATTGTCCCTCCGACATGTCTAAATCACAAAACACACTGGAGTAAAGTGTCGTGTTTTTTCTTTTCATTCAGGGAGCTGGATTTGAAGAGACCAATCTATCAAAAAACAGCTTGCTATGGGCACTTTGGGAGAGAAGAATTTACATGGGAAATACCCAAAAAGCTTGTGTATTAAGCTTTTCAGAATGCTTCATTTAATTGGAAGGTGGTTTAACAATCAGATACAATTCCAAGCTGTTCATGAAAAGACTGTATCTACTCTTTTTTAAAATGACGTTGTGTAGCTAAGAGATGTACTGAAAAATAATTGTGTTTAATTTCTAGCTTTCACCATGACCTCACTCTTTAAACGCATGCAGCTCAATTAACATACTTTTCAGCTCTGTCTTTGGTAACGTGTGAACAACTTAGGCCTTTGGCTGCCATCAGATGTAAATTGCACAGATGCTTGTCGAAGTCTGTACTGTCCTGCCAAAGAAGCCTGCTACTGGTTACCCAGTTAACTTTGTCCTGAAGTGGCAAGGTAACTTCCAACAGCTGCCTGTGAGAGGAGAAAGAAATAGTGCAAATTGCCTAAATTCTCTGGGCAGTGACCTCCACAACTACAGTTTTAGTTATGGTAATTCTGGTCAGAGCAAATGATTAAAAACACCCATTTCAGAACGTAGTTTGTTGTAACTCTAAATGTACTTAGGTCTGAGGTAGTGTTATCTGTTTGCTTTTAACATTGTAGTGTTGTAGGTTTACCTCCGTGAAAGCTGATGGACTCCTTTGTTGTAATGCTTTTACTTATTTATAGTTACTCCTTTTCAAACTGAAAATATCCATGTCTGCATGAGTTGGAAAAGGTTGTGTAATGTTTCAGTTAAGTTTCATTTAGTCACTTCTGAAATGTAAAATCTTTTTGTAAAAAAAACACTTGGACATTATTTTCCTTTGACTTCTGGTTAAGAGCACAAAATGGAGAGGGAGAATTCAAAATCATTCAGCTTTTTTTTTTTTTTTTTTTTTTTCAAGGACTGGAAAAGATGAAAAGGCTTGCATACAGGAGGTAGCACTATCCATCCAATCTCCAGAGCTTCTGCCTACACATTTTTAGCAAATCTTCCAATAAGTATTGAATTAATGTTACTTTCATAGGGTAGCTATTTTGCTCAATGTGAAATTTTCCTCAAAAACAGTAGAGGACATGTGCCTTGTTTAAAACAAGCAAACAGAAAAAGGCTACCTCTGCTAAATTTGTAGTGCTTAGTACCAGATCAGAGACAAAACAATTGCTCCACAAAATCAATTAACATCTTTTCAAAATGCTTTCCTACTACAATTTTATAAATGAATCACTTAAGCTGTAGCCTCAAAACTGAAAAATGATGGCCAGAGCAGACATAATCATTAAGACTGAAGTTATTGCTGAAAATTTAGGTAAATTATAATGTAGCCTACATACAGCAGTCAATCAAAATATTTTTATTTCCAAGTGTTGCAACTGATATTTTAATAAATGTGTTAATATCAAATGAACAGGCTTTTCTTTGAAATATGTGTCTACAATATGTTGTACAAATCCATCAAAACATAGTGGTTCATCACCTGTGTGAGAAATTATAACTGCATATCAGATTAAAAGCCCCAAATAGTTTATGCATTGTACTTTGAGACTTCATCCAGAGTAGCAGGCTGCACAGATATTCAGCTAATAAAGTTACAAGTATGAAAAATATGTGTTATAGTAAAATAATTTGTAACATCATAACGATGTACACTGTAACATGTAGAGGCATTAGTGGCTGTTCTAGGAAATGTGGTGGTTTCTTTTTTTCAAGTAGTGAACTTAGATGTACACTTCCAAAAGTTAATGATCCTCATGAAGTCCTTTGAGGTAGAACTAAACCTAAATCTTTCAAAAGGACATAGTTTCGCTCAAGCCTAGAGAAGCCAATTAGAGAAGAAAATGAATGAAACGGAAGTGCCAGCTTGGCTATGAAAGTCCCTTTCTTTCTGATCTCAGAAGAGATGAAGAGTTTCTGCTGGCAAAATGAAGACATTAAAATTAAGAAAGGTCAAAACCTGTTCTATTTGCTTTGTGTCAGAATTAGCTTTGACTCATGCTTTCAGAGTACATCACAAGATCAGCTGCACCAAAAAATACAAACCTTGGAGATGTAATTAATCTTCCTGCTAAGATGGGACACTCTCCTTCTTCTGAAATAGATTTTCAGCTGTGCTGAACCTAGCAAACCTTATCTAGAGCCATGCAGACATTATTATGTATCCCATTTTGTTAACTGTATTTCTCTTAAACGCTACAGAGAAACGCAAAGTGGAATGTTAATTCATCACTTTTCAATTCATTTAATTCCTAATGAGCTGAAAGCAATTACTGGAATGGAAATTAAAGTGCACATCTTTACTACATGCTAATAAACACAATGAACTCGTCATTTAACAATACCTCAGTTTATAGCTCTCCACTGCCTTGACCTTGTGGTACGAAAGGACATGCCTTCTTTCCTATCTTCACCACCTAAGATTTTTGGTCTAAGTGTTCTTTGCTCCGTCTGGTGCAGGCTGTAGAAGGTCTGGATGAGAGTTAAAATAAGACCTCAGCATTTTCATCAGGAGCTCAACCATCCTGCAGCAGTCCAGCGTGTTTGTCAGAACTGGGATGCAAATTTTTAACAGATGGCAAAATCTTGTTTTCCTCTGCTTTTGATGATGCCAGCATAAAAACTGATAGGCCTTAATGCCTTTAGCAACTTTAAAAAACCATGATGCATAAATAACAAAGAACATAATACTCCTTTTGGCTGCATACCGTTAAAACTGGAGCAGTTTAACACCGTTTTTGTTTTTACCCAGCAATAAATAAAAAAGCTCAGCCCCACTACTGGAGAGGCTTTCAAGCAGCTGCACACATTTCAGACCCTATCCTACTTAGTCGTCTGCTTGACCTCTCGAGGATGGTCCTAAATATTAAAAACAAACAAACAAACAAACAAAAAAAACAGTAAAATACCCTGGTATATATTACCCTATATTACCCTGGTCAGTACAATACCCTGGTATTCCTTCCGACATTTTGGCCAGGAAAACAACATTTATGTCAAACGTCTCCTACCATAACTATAGTAATTGGAGTTCTAGATCTATCCTGATTTTTTCCAAATGCAGCATTCCTGCTTCTTACCCTGCATTTTTTCCTAGATTCCCTTCACGTGTAACATGCACTCTCCTGCAGTCTTCCTTGGGATGGACTCCCACTGGTATCTGTTACTGTGCCATCTGAGCAATTTGAAGGAAACAGGGGAATTGTACAAATTGGGGGATTTTCATATCAGATCTCACATTTGGTGCCTGCCTGCGTGCAATATTTTGACTGAAATTCTGGATTATTCACTCCTTGTGCCAAGATCCTTTCGCAACAGTCAAATCAAATCTCTCTCCTAGCACAGTTTTATAATTTTAAATGAAGTCAGTTTTCACTGGTGGAGTTTCATTTGCTCGCTTTTGTTCTTTAAATATATGTGTACACTCTGATAGAGAACTAAGATTTTTAGGCAACATCTAAGGGCATTTCAAGGAGGCACAAGCCCTGCAGGGCTGCTGAAGGGAATAGTTCTGCTGTCCTGTCACACTCAATGGCTTTTTCCAGCCTTTGGAGCATCTCCTTGGTGCTGGGGTGAATGTGAGGCTTGGCAGCGAAACCGTCAGGAGAGGAGGAGGCTCAGGGGAGGCCTCATTGCTCTCTGCAGCTGCCTGAAAGGAAGGTGTGGGGAGCTGGGGGTCGGTGTCTTGTCACAGGTAACTGGTGGTAGGACCAGAGGGAATGGCCTCAAGTTGTGCCAGGGCAGGCTCAGGTTGGCAGTGAGGAGACATTTCTGCTCAGAAAGAGCAGTCAGGCACTGGGACGGGTTGCACAGGGAGGTGGTGGGGTCACTGTCCCTGGGGGTGTGCAAGGACAGGCTGGACGTGGTGCTTGGCGACAGGGTTCGGGACCGGACGGGGCGGTGGCGGGTCTCCACCACCTCACTCCCTGAGGCACCGCCTCACGGGGACGAGGGGTGGGGGGGGCGCCATAACGGCCCGCCCAACGGCCGCCCAACGGCCGGGCGGGAAGCCGCGCCCCGCCCCTCGTGGGGGTGGCCTCTCCGCACGGCGGGGCGGCTCCGTGATGTCACGAGTGACGCAGCGCTCCCGGAAGCAGGCCGGAGCGGAGGGCCCGGTGGCTGAGGAGGCGCCCCCCGCCCCCCCGTCCCCGTCCCCGCTCCGTTCCCCCCCGCTCTCGGTGTCCCGGCGGCGGCGTCCCCCGCCCGCCCGCGCCTTCTGCCCCCCTCCCCCTCTCCACAGCCCCCTTCTGAGCCTCGGCGGGGCGCAGCCATGTCGCTGCTGCAGTCCGCCCTGGACTTCCTGGCGGGGCCCGGCTCGCTGGGGGCCGCCAGCCGCGACCAGAACGACTTCGTGGGGCAGACGGTGGAGATGGGCGACATGAGGCTGCGCGTCCGCAGGGTCATCGCCGAGGGTACGGCCGGGGGGGCTGGGGGGCGGGGTGGCAGTGAGGAGACATTTCTGCTCAGACAGAGCAGCCAGGCACTGGGACGGGTTGCACAGGGAGGTGGTGGGGTCACTGTCCCTGGGGGTGTGCAAGGACTGGCTGGACGTGGTGCTTGGGGACAGGGTTCAGTGGTGACACTGGTGGCAGGGGGTGGTTGGGCCAGGTGGTCCTGGAGGGCTCTTCCAAGCGTCTCTGTGTCCGCGTTACGGCTGTGCTTCTTGTGTTCCCTTTGATTGAAATAGGCGCCCACAGCTTGCTGGTGGCAGGGAGTGAGGCTAGACAGCGCCGCTGACCCAAAACAACCCGTAGGTATAATCACGATTTGCCCAGGTGCAGTTTGCTACAGTGAGCCTGTGCTGACACCTGGACACCTTGGTACACCGCTCCTAGGACAGGCACTTGAAGACACCTGCTCAATTAGTCACTATCTTAAAAAAGAAATAAAAAGGGGGGGGGGGGGAGGAACCCACCCCAACCCACCCCACCCCACAAAAAAGCCACAAGATTTTCATTATAAACCATAGTTCATTCAGTTAAGCTTGGAGCTACAGGGTGTCTGAAAAGTTCCTGCCACTTCTGCCGTCTTCAGACTTGAAAGAGGAGTGGCTCTGCCTTAAACTCACCACTTTGATTTGTTGCCGATACCGTTTTTCCTCCAGCTCTGAACCTGTGCTCGACACTTTCTCACAAGTGCTTGCGTAAGTGTTCTGAAGAGCAGTCTTCTCCATGCTTAACAAACTGAAAATCTGTTCGTTTTCAAGTGAGTCCTTTCATGCCAGGTTCCCCGCTAGAATTCAAGGGCTGCTTTCTCAATTTAGATTTCAAGTCTGTGGTGAGATGCATGTGAACCGTCAAGGCAGAGAAGTGGCCTTTTCTATAAGATCGCATGGTCTCCTTCGATTTTAATTGATGTGAGCAGCGTCTGTGGGTTGCAAAGTATTGTGGCAGGCAGGGTAAGTTCTGTGGTTATCATGCCCCGCAGCTCTGTCCAGATCAGTGTTGTGCTGCCTGTCCATGTTGGTGCCGATATCTGTGTGCCCATGTTTCGAGCTGGGACACTAGCTACACAGTTTGTGCAGGTCTGTTTCCCTGACTCATTTTGCAGAAATACCACCCTAAGAGCAGGATGGGGCTGACTGAAAATGTGGTGTGCTGCGGCAGGACTGTGAGAACAATGTGGGGAGGACAGGCAGGCGAAGATCCCTTGCACTGATATGACCTCCACACAGAGGATGAGCAGATGCATGAACAGATTAAGTGTTTCAGGGGCTGGACTGAGTGCTTCTGGAGTACTCTGCTGTGTCTTCGGCTTTGACTTTTCAATTGCTCGCTGCAGCTAAGAAGTTTTAGAGGTAATGGTTCAGTGCCTTGACATTTAATCCCTGCTTGCCTTTCATGGGATGCTGGCTTCAGCAGCTGTCATGGTTCTTTGGGGTCTTCATGCTGCTGCAAAGTTCTCCTTACTCACCTTTACTAACTAGGTATGTAATCTAGTGTAAAGGCAACTTTGTGCTCTTTTGTACGCGTGCAGGTATTTTGTACTCGTCTCCCTTACGTGTGGGCATCTCCCTGTACCAAGGAGTCTGCACATATGCAGTCTAGCTACATGAGACAGAACTCTATAGGTGGTGTTAGGTGATGGTGGCTTCGACTGCAATCTGTCACATCCCTTGCTGTTCACATGAACAGCATGCACAATTTTTTATGCTTTTGCTTCTTTTATGACTTTTAGCTTCTTCGTTTGGTCTTCTGGAGTGTCCTCCCCCTATGTTCAGGATCCTTGTGTCAGCCTGTGCTGGATAGCTGAGGGATGGAGACTGCTGAGCTGATGATCTGACTATTGATACGCTGGCACATTACACCTTGTAAGAGTGGGAGGGAGCAGGGGACCAGAGCGGGCTAAGCAGTAGCCCTTAGAAAGTTCTTAATTCGTGCTCCTGAGAGATGGCAGTCTTTGAATGTTATGTTCTTCCATGAATGTTTCTAGTGAGCCTGTTTTGTAAAAGCAGTTGATGGCACTTTAAAAAGCAGTGGTGGCACTTTAATTGGTGTGAACAGAGCCTGTTGATTAGCATTGTAAAGTATCACAGGGTAGCAGAAACAGAGTCGTTCATAAATTTATATATCTCGTTGACAAAGTGAAAATACAGTAAGTATAAAGAGCTTGGGGGTGTCTCATAATAGCAAACAGAAGCTTGAGTTGATCTGTGAAACCTCTATGATACCTTTCAATCTCTTGTAAGGTTGAAAAAAGTAAGCTTATTCTGCAAGTATTATGTTAAGTGTTTGATTAAATCAGATAACATTTTTAAAGGTTTTCATAGTGTGTTAAAAATCAGTTGGCACGGAGTTCACTAGTAGTTCCTACTGCCACTCAGCAGATAATGTAATTTTCCTACAAGTACTTCATGGCTAGTGAGATGTTAATTTGCTTCTTGAGAACGGCTCTCGAGTCTTATAGGTTAAATAGGGCACTGTAGTTGATAATTTAGTATTTGTGATTTCAGCTTTGTTAAATTTTCTGGAACAGAGATCACAGTAATGGAGAATTAATCTTTAAGAAGTTTTGAGGATTCTTCTGTTAAGATAAGTGAGATAAACCAGACAGAAAATAGGTCTCTATTAGTGCTTTCAATTACTTATTTTGAAATGGTTTGTGTTTGAGATTTTTTTTTTTTAAATCCGTGCTAGAGATGATTGCATCAAGAAAACTTTGTATGACATAATTACTGTTTAAATATAGTTTTTGTCTTTGTCAACAGGTAATTCAGCTGTGGATTGATTAACCCTTATGGTTTCCTCTTTACTCTTGAGAGTGTAATTGCTGTTCTGTGAAGTATAGATGAAGTTGTTGATTTCTGTATGAACTGGGGCAGTGGTATCCTGGTTCAAACTTAAAGATTTTACACAAAGCAACTCAGGGTCTTGTCACTGGGAGGAGCTGATGGCATGGAATTAGCAACGCTTGTTCCTCAAAGTATATTGAGAAATATGCAACCTGCTTGTGCAGGTTAATTGTAATGTGTTTGAAAACTTGTGTTAGCTGGGTACTCCTTGGTCTGACAGATGAGGAGCAAAACCTAGGCATAAATGATGGAATTGGGGTTTCAGTGCCCATAAAGTTCTCTTGCCTAACAATCAGGGATTTCATATCCACTAATGAACTGTCAGTGAAGATGGAGAGTTCACTGTTCCCTGTAATAGCCTAATGAGCAGGCTGGGGGTGCCTGGCTCCTCTTCAGGTCTCATGAAATGCAGACTCTGTAGTACTGGTCCATGTATGGGACAGCTGGAAGAAACTGCAGAAAACTGATTTTCGTGCTGTACGGAGGTACTAGGCAAAGCAGCAGAACTTCTCCAACACTTTATCTAAATTACAATTTTATAACACGCTAAGACTAAGTGTCTATTTAGCCTTATTTTTCTTCCAGATGCTGTGATGAGAAGGCAAAGACGTGAAGTTTTAGTAAAACTTGTCCCTCAGATTAGAAAGAAACACTTTGAGAGATGTGCAATTTTTTTTTCCTCCAGTGGAGGTCAGGAATGTGACTTCTGGCACGCTCAAGTCTTTAAGGCTTTTCGATATAGGTTAGTATCAATACTAGTCCTTATTCTTTTTAACACAGAATTTTCCTCTCAACACTGTGGCATTTTGTAAGTAAGACTTCCCCTTGATATGCTTGTCCAACTGTGCTGCCCTTGGAATGAAGCTTCACATTGTGGTGGTAGATTTCCCATTTGCTGGAAAAAGCCAAGGAAAACCATAATTGATGAGTTGTATGGAAGGAAATTCCCTGAAATATCTCATTTTTGTTTTTTTTTAAATTTATCTGGATTTAAGGGAAAAAATACTTCTGTTTCCTTGTTGTACATTTAATAACTTTAAAGTGTTTTTGCTGGTCGTTTTACATATGAGACAACAACTGAGAATAAATGAAGTGTGCAGCTCTGTGAGGAGCAGGGAACAAGCAAGCTCTGTAGCATTTATGTCTACTGATCTATTAAGGTTTCTTTAAGTAACAAGCATGGGCAGAAGAATAAGACCATGGAACAGAACCATGGTGACAAGAAAGAACCATTCCTTAATGAAAAAAGTAGCAGTACAGGCTGCAGGCCTTAATTCCTTCTGAGTTCAACGAGCTGTCAGGAGCTGATGTCATGTATGTGACTTGCTCAAAGCAGTACTATAGCAAAATAAAACTCGTATCTATTGTTAAAGAATTGTGAGAAAAATCTACTTCGATCTTTTGAGTTTATGCAATTGATATTTTGCAAGTAAACAGGCAGAATTACAGTTCACCAAGCTTATAGGTATGGTTTTATGGTCTCTGCAGCCCCTGGATTCACAGTATGGTGAATCATAGAACGGCTCAGTTTGGAAGGGACATTAAAGATCTCACAGCTCCAACCCCCTGCCACCCACTAGGTGAGGCTGCCCAGGGACCAATCCAGCCTGGCCTTGAGCACCTCCAGGGATGGGGCATCCACAGCTCCTCTGGGCAGCCTGTGCCAGGGCCTCACCGCCCTCTGAGGGAAGAGGGGGTGGCGATGTAATTAAATGCTGGATAGATAAAATTCATAAACTTTGGCCAGCAGAGTCACAATGAACTGTTTTGGGGGGTGTAGTTAGTTTGATTTGCTGGCAGGTAGATGGATTTGCTATGAAGGGAGGAGAGCTCACATCGTGTCAAAGGGAAGTTGCAACAGCCATGAAGTAAAGGACGAACTGGCAGCTCTGCAAACCGTGTGAGGCAGATTGCTCAGAAGCAGGAAACAAAGTCAGACTCGCTAAGGAAGAGCCCAAGCACCCTGATGTAGTAGCTTTCTGGTTCACGCTCCCTTTACTGCAGGTATAGAGAGGATTTTTCAGCATGAAGCATGGCAATACTGTTTGTTGTTCAAAGCTTGTTTCTTAGGTTCATGCTTGCAGGGGAGCAGTGAATGTTTCAGTGCTCTACTTTTCCAGT